ATTGTAACAAAGTTTCAAAAAAAATCGGTCGGAAAAATTTTGAGATATCGAGCTTTTAGTGACGTCATGATTTCTGAGTTTTCCACCAAAAATGGCATATGTTCAAAAAATCATATAAAATCACAGAATAGAGATAAAGACATGCCGTAAACGGCATTAGACTGCCAATACCATGAGCAAACAAATGGCTATCTTCGATTATTGATTATTGTTTCGCATTTTCCAAAATCTTGATCTGAATCTTGGCAATTTCTCGTGACTACCTCACGACCATGATACATGCATTTCTTAAATTGAACTTTTTGAGCCAAACACGTACACATATGATAAAATGAATGTCACCATCCTGTTCTCCGCCCCAAATTACCCATAAAACATGTGTCACAAGCTGCGAATATCAGTTTTGATTTTCGGGGATATGTGCCTACCCGGTTGACCTGACCTTGACCCTGACCTATGCTTGACTGACCCCTACATGAAGCTGAGACTCTTGTAGGCCTTATATGATGGATTATGCACCGTTTTGACAGAGTTTATGACGAGAGGCACCCATTGCGAAGTCCTGAAGTCCATGCTACTGAAAGCCCGATTTCAGGTGTTTGACCTGACCTTGACCCGACCTGTGACCTCAAAGTTCAACTTTAAAGTACTCATCTGAAGCGTCTCGTCGCGTTCTTTCGTTTGCCGCCTCGTGCGTTTCGCTGCGCCTATTGGTTCTCGAGTTATCGGCTGGGGGCGTTTAACGCCCCCCCCCCCCCAGCAAACGATGGGTGGCGAAATACACCAGCAACTGCCGGGATAAGATAGTGGCATGCAAAAAAAATGTTATTTGATACAAAAGCATACCTGTAGAGTTTGCAATGTTCTCATAAGATTGTTCTCCTTCAGGTATTGCTGAATCAACCGGACCACGCTGCAACAAAATCAACAATGGTCAGTCAATCCCTTGTCTAAACCATGATTTTTTTCTCCGGAGCCGGAACCGGAGCCGGAGCCGTCTGAAATTTTCACGGCTCCGCATCTCTGGTTATACTTATGTAGAGTGTTAAGTATAGTTTTGCAAACATGGGTCCTGTTCGGTCGCTGTTTTTATATCAGCGTGCTGTCGGTTTTCCCCATATAAGGAAGTTATTGCTGGCGCGGCTTGGCCTCTCATTGGTCTAACAAATAGACCACTTGAATTCGACCAATGAGGAGCCAAGAAGTAGCAGCATGGTCGCAGCCTGCTAATAAATAAACGGGGTGCGAACAGAGCTATGGTTCCTTTTTGTTTCATGCAGTTCCTGAAGCCTTTATCCTCAGATCTCATTATCAAAAATATAGGTAGCTTTGTGTGGTGTTGTGACCAGTTTCAATAAGACATCCTGATCACCCAACTGCTTGCCCATCAGATTTCATCCTCCAGGATACACTAAAAATGATCATTCTGGCATATTCTGCTTGCTTGCTATGAGTTTCCTAAGGGAAGGGATAAGTGCATCACAGGCAATGCAGATCCATGTCATCCTCATTGTCATACACAACTGGCACAGCCACTAGTCTGTGGGCCAATATCCACACTGTTTTCTGCATAGACATCACTGCAAGAGGTGTGTCACTGCAGCAAGACATCACAATCCTTTTGCAGTTTGGCTCTGATATCACAACAATAGGGCATGCATGATACAGTACACCTGACCCTGACAACAGTAGGGCATGCCTGATACAGTGCACCTGACATTGGCACAGAAACTTCATTTTTATGAGGATCCTTTGATTTCAGTAAGTGTTTAGCTACACAGATCAATCAGAGATGGCAACCTGACATTGACAAGCACTGCAAGATTGCATTCAAATATAGGCTGAAGGGTGCAAAACAGATGTGATGTGCTCATGGAAATAATCTAGTTCTGATTATAAATTGCAATTGTCCAGTCCAGACTCCAGAAAAAGCAAACATTTGGTGAAATCCTCCTTTTGTACACTAGGCTCAAAAATGATAAGAAACCACACCATATTGTCAAAAACCATAAATTAACCTGGAAAATCTTCAAATGATCATTTACTCCTTAAGAAGCAGCAGTGTCCCAAAATCATATTTTGGCTTGGGTGATAGAGGGGGATATTCCTCACTGCAAAGAGGGCTGAGAGTCAAAAATTGTGAGTCAAAATGGCATGCAAAAGAATGGAAAACAGGGATTATCAATATAAATGTGAGTGCTCTAGGATGGGGGGACTGGTTTATAAGATAGGTAATTGAAGGAAATATGAAAGTTGTTAAGCCAGCCAAAAGTACACACACAACTGCTTTTTTATGGGTAAAATTGGGAATGAAAAAATGTTCTGGAAAATTGAAGGTAAGAGTGGAAAAGAAGTTTCATTTGGATAGCATTTCTCAACCAAATTGGCAATTTTTGAGACACTGAGAAGCAGGTACACTACAAGCAGAAATGATGAGTACAAACATAATCTAGCCAGACCAAACCTTACCTAGCATACCCTCACCTTAACCTGAATCAATGGGTGGTTGATTGTAATTTATTATGTTTTTGTGCAAAAAGCATCAAAGTATTGATATGTGATCTCACTTTTTAAGCTTAGAAGGATGTGTCCTTTCCTTTCATGTTGTTATTTTGCCAAGTTGTTCAGTTTTCAGATGGTGCAAAAAGAGGAAATGACCATGACACTGACAACATGGAATAATTTTCAGAGAATGTTAAAAAGGATTCATGGGGTTGCCCTTTGGTCAAAATAGCATCAAACATCTGCTTCTTCTGCCAAGAAAATATAGTGTAACTCCCTCCTTTCAGGAAAGACATAAATAGGCCTAAGAATGCCTTTCCTAAAACAGGGACGCACAAACTCCTTTTTAGCTGGTTAGCAAATGTTTCACAATGGAATATTGACTTAAAATTTCCAGTACTCTCATATTGTTATTGGTAAGTGGGCATTATTTAATAATCACAAACATACGTTAGTTCCTAAAAGAAGTTATCAAAAATAAAATAAAACCCAATTTCAATGCTGAACGATAGCGCCATATTTTGGAACAAGAGCGCCGTACAAGCACCACTATCTCTACCGAAACAGCTGGATGCATTCTACTGCTACAAAAGAATCCGATTCAACCAATGAACATGCGATGCCGGGTTCTACGAGAATACAGCTCAATCGACTTCGGTAGAGTTGAAATAGCCCGAAATGAGCCGACAATCAGAATTGAAATACTCACTCAGCAGACTCAATTTCAATCGCCATTGCTGTCCCACTTAACCTTGTAGTTGCATATAAGGTTATAAAACAAACTTGATCAGTTATAAAAGGCAAATATCACTATGCCATTAGAAAATGCACCCACACACGCAACAACACAAACAACCAGCAGTTCCAATCAAGCCAAGGTAAATGAAATTCTTCTTTATATTTTCGAAAAAGAGCCACAGAGATCTACTGACGTCATCATTATTAACCTTCTCATTGGATGATTTGTTGAACGTCATTCTTATTTATCATACATTTCTATGCGTTTGAATACATTGCATACATAAGCGTTCTGCGTTTATGTTTTTTTTTTACTCAACTACAACCATCTGTAAGAATCTTGCTACAACATAGACGTACCGGCCAGGATATATGAATACCCACATTAATGCAAGATTATCTCTGTCTTTCTTTTTGGGCCGCACTGAGGAAAAAAGTAGTTAAAAAATACTTTGGCTGACCTTTGAAGCGCTTTTCTGTGGAAAAATGACGGGACCTAATTGTGTATGTATACGCAACCGAAGTGTGACGTCATGACTAGTGGCTGGGGCATAATCAGCTGACGGCCCTGTGTTAAAGCAATGGGACGAAATTTTATCAGCATTTTTAGAACAAACTGGACCTAGTTAGATAGTTTGGGGGCCAGTTTCTAGGTAAACTGAGTATATTCTATTTTTCTACGCCCAAAAAATGCTATGTTTCAAAGCGGAAAGGACCGAATTTCGCGAAATCGTTACGGGCGGCGAACTTGACGCACCAAATACATGACCTTGAGATGCGAACTGTGACCGCGTCGGGAGGATTTTGATGCGTAAGGTTTGACATATTTGAGTTTGAGCTGGATAAATATTTTTTATTTGTAAAAAGCAAAGGAGAAAATTCACCATATAAGTTATTTTGGAAATCTTTTTTATTTTAAATCCATTATTTTAAACCTCTTGATCTAAAATGTTTTGTATTTCTGCGTCAACTTCGCCGCCAATTAGGTTTTCACGAATTTTTGTGCTTTGCGTTGTTAGATTTAGCAATATTTTTTCATAGAAAAATAGATCATACATCGTTGTCCTAAATTCAGCTACTAAAACTATCTAACTAGGTCCAGTTTTCTTGGGAAAGATCGGCAAAATATTGCCCCATTGCTTTAGCACGGGGCCGTCAGCTGATTATGCCCCAGCCACTTATCGTGACGTCACGACTTCGGTTGCGTATAGCCTGGGCACTTTTGAAGGTGCTCTTTTAAAACTCTGTGTCTGCATGCAGACGGTCCTTTCTTCCGTCTAATGACCAAAATGACCTCTAAATCCACAAGCGGATTCACTGAAACGCTCCCATCCTCAGCCTTGCGCCCCAGCTCTCCCGCAATGACAATTTGTAGTTTTTTTTTCTAATAGACGAAAACTTTAGAACTTTTATCAAAGAGCAAGTTTCGTTCTTACACAACAGTACCTACATAAGGAATCAAAGCCCAAAGTTTTTTTTTTTTTTAATTTGAGAAATTTTTGGAATTCATACTAACCCCTCCCCCCCCCCCCCGCCTGCGCCTGTGGCAGTGTTCCTGGGTGCGGGGATCCCTTTTGCCTTATCTATCCCAGTCCAAGCGGTCAGTTATCCAAAAGGTAGACATTCCTCGACACACGATCCTCCCTACCCAGCTCCCGCCGCTGGGTCAGCAGAAACAGCCCCGAGGCATTTCAGAGCTCACGGTCCGACTCAGCACCTGCCGGCGCTGCGCGGCCGCGCGCTGGGGCAGGTGGCGCCGTCTCCCGGCCGGTCCTCGGCGGGCTCAGGTGCCGCCGCGCCGCTCCGCTCCGAGGGCTGAGAGACACGAGGTGAGGCCAGTGCCGCCTCTGAACGGCTGACGGGTGGACGTGAGGGTGTCACGGACCGCGCCGCGCCGCCTCTGCCACGATCGAAAGGTCACGAGTGCTCGAGCAGTGGTGGACACGAGCCCAACGGGACCGACAGCACTCGAGTTGACGGGACTTGTTACCGACGAACTCTGTTACCGAACAAGCTGGTGAATCTACCAACAGTGCCTGTAAAAGGGACTCGAAAGTTTGTTTTACATCACACAAGTGTCACCTTCCAAAAAGTGATCAAGACTGGCGTCGGGTACCGGCTGAAGACTCCGTGACTTGGAGACCTGTTGCCATCGATACTCGCGCAGCGTGTGACAAAGTATCGGCAATAACATCGAGAAACTCGTCGCCTCTGACGCCCTCCGTCGCATCCGACGTTCGGCGGCTGACGTCTGGTTTTATCCAGTCGCCATGGTGACAGCCATCCGCCGGTGACCCTCAGAGCAGACAGTGCAGAGACGGACAGTGCGGCGCGGGGACACGGCTGGCGGCAATGTCCACGGGACTGGCGATGGTGCCGCTTCTGGTGCCGCTGCTGGCGGCGGTGTTATCCGTCTCCGCAGCAGCGGACGTCAGGCTGGTGGAGAATGTGTACAAAGGATTGGTCATCGGCATCGACGACAGGCTGGAGGCTCATCGTTGTCGAGAGATCATCGATGGTGTCCAGGTATGTGTCCCATTATATCCTTCCGTGGTGTTATTACCTACACTCCTTCGGAAGCTTCACTCCGCAGTTTGCTTTTTGCATGAGCGCGGTCGTTTATCAAGCTCTGCTTTGATTGACGAAAGAGCCGTCTTTTTTCGGCACAGGGCACCAACTCAGCATGAGCTTGCTCCTGTCAACGCCTCTCCCATACGATGAAGTTAACCGCATCACGGGTCCACTGGAGCGGAACATTTGGGCGCCGAAATTCCGCCGAGCCGCACGTGCGTGTCTATCGGTGTGTCTGACACCCAGCCGCCGTCAGTCTCGGGAAACTGCTCGAGTGACGGGTGACTGGCTGGTATTGATCGGGGTTGGACAGCTCACGGCTCTGAGCGAGCTCACGGTTGAGCCGAATCGCCGCGTGCTCTGGCACTGAGTCAAGGTAAACGGCGCCTTGGCGGATACATTTGAGATCAGAATGTTACCTTTTGTAAACCGTATCGCTTATGAGGCCGATGACAGCTGAACAATAGAAGCATGCAGGCTGCTGACGGCTGTGATAGTTTCAATCAGCATATATTATGTAATTGGAGATTACCACTGTTGAGTGTTGATCTGACGGATAATTATATCTATTGACATCATTCAAAATATATGGATAGAACTATCGGTATTGAATCATGCACCAGTACCTAACAGTCGGTACGCCTACAAAGCCGCAATAAACAAACCAGTAGGACCACCATGCATCATTAGCCGACGGACCAAATTTCAGTACCTAGATAAATAAGGCAAATAACTATACTATTTACATTACATTATTTACATTACATCATTTAGCGCAGCTTATCCCTGATGAACATTACAGTGGAACTTGAGTTGCTTTTATCCTGCGGCATGCATAATCTCTCGATAGCAATATATCCGTTCATTTAATCACATTTTTTGCCGCCGATACGCTTTCATATTATTCGTCGCCGAATTTGCCTCTATATAAAGCCCTCTTTGCGATGTTTTGGCCAAAACCGTTTTAAAAGCAAGGGTTTTGTACACATTTCACCTCATTGCAGTTTATACGGGAGGATCGCTGAAAAAGATTTAATTGAGTCTGGTGCGCTTGCCGGTCATTATTTCTCCGTCTTATTGCAGTTATAACGTGGAAGCTGTTCTTCATGAGTCGGTGTAGGTATCATTTGTTGGTCAAAATGCAAGTCAACGTCTTGCCCGATCGCTGGATTGCCCGATTATTATTTCTTTAATCATCATATTTCCGACTGAAACGGTAATAAACTCTCTTAGACCAGAAAGCCAGATCCTCAACAATTATTTTGTCGGGACACTTGGTATTCGGAGCGCCGATGACCTCGCAAACCCTGGCGCCCTAGAATCACATATCACGTCACTTTTATTGGAATTTCTAATCCCTAATTATCCGGATCATCATTGGTTCATGTCCAATTAAACGAACATCTAGCTAAGCCAAAAACAAAGAATATTGTAATGAGCTCAATATTTGCATAATTGTGACATCTAATAACTCTTTGTCGGTCGTCATATTACCTACCTGTCACAGATGACATAATTGAAATGTTTTGCGATTCTGGCATTCTAAATTCTTTGCATACCACCACTTGCGGGATCAAGACAGGTTACCTTTTCATCAGCGATTAATTATTTCTCTTATATGGTTACTCTACACTTTACAGCGAACTGAAGTATCCGCAAGGATGCATGGTGCGATAATAACCTATACGTGTGTTACGGGTGCCGACTGAAACGCACTGCAAAACCGGCTGCCCTGCAATCTCGCGTGTCCATCGGCGATCCCCTTTCAGAGCCTCTGCTCTCGCTCAAACTTTTGCAAACTTTGGTGTCAAGAACTGCAGGTGAAAACTGTCCAGTGATTTATGCTATGTCAGTGTTTCACCGTCATCTCTCTGCGCTCTGCGTACATTAATCTTGTGCACAGCGACAGCGCAGTCCTTGGAATCCAGCGAGCATCATCTCATAGAACATGTCTCGGCGGCCGGTGTCTCATGGAGCATGTCTCGCGGACACGGTGTCTGGGAGGCGATGTCTGCTGGTAGGCCGCAGAGATGAATTGGGACAGGCCGGTCCTCTGGCACCTATTCAGGCGGGTGACACGCGGCCCCCCGAGCGAGCGGCGGAGGACGATTTAATCCGGCCGGGACAGCCGACGCTCTGTGCCGCTGCCACACGGGGACGCGTCCTCAGTGGCCGCGGGCTCATCCCGACCTTCAGAGGATTGTATTCGACGGGCTTTACTGCGGTAGGTTTGGGAGAACGCATGGCTTGTACTGGACCGTAAAATGGTGTGGTAATTGCTACTTGGCTCGCGTGTAATTGTACGTTTCTGGCTATCGGTGATCAATGGCGTGGTATTTCTGAGAGAGAATGTGGGCCTGCGCGAGCAGGGTGCTTTATGGAAAACAGGGCACAAACGGCGTGTGCACTCCAAGTATAGTGATTTGCGATGTTTTTGTTGACGCGTATGACCTTCAGTAGGTTGCGCGGATTCATATTTCGCACGTTTTGGGGCGGTGGAACCCGTTTTTTCAGAGCTCCCATGGAAATCACCAGACATGTGGCCACACCGGGCGTCTTACCCCGAAATGCTAATATTCCCATCCCATTGTTTCCAACCCTGAGGTTCGTTCACGAACGCTGCCACAAAACACACCGCATTACTGCCCGGTTGCAGTGCAGAAAACGCCGTCGCCGTCGCATGGCGGCCGTTTCGGCGTTTACACGGTTCTTATCCTCGCTGTGCCGGGGGCGCCGCACCGTCTGCGCGGCGTGTATGTACGGCGGTCGGCCGGCCCGGTACGCAGTGTGATTACCGGTCATTGAGGGGCGGCGCGATATCATCGCCGCAGCCCGTCCCATGTTCTGGCCGGTAACGAGCCGGCTTTGTCCGGCCCGCCGGACGCCGGCGGGCTCCCCGCCGCCGGCCCCGGGCTACGGCAGCGCAACTTACGGCATCCGCGCTCCGCCGAGCAGTGAGCGTTCCTGGCCGAGGTGTTTAAAAAAGTTCCCACAGTCAATTGCGTCCTTTAACTGAAACGCTGATTTCCTTTGTTGTCCGTTGCAGTATTTAAAAAAGCTGGATTGCATGAAATATGTGTGGGGAAGAATGCAAACAGCGAGAAGATACTTACTCGTGGAAGGTAGCCTGAACACACCGTCGAGTTGATTTGCTACGTTTGATTTGCCGTACACTGGTACCTTACTTTTTTATTAGATAGATAGGTACTACTCTAAGGTATGTGTGAGTTATCTAGAAGTGCTTTTTATTTTCAATACTAAGCGATTAAACCTAACTCGTAATTCCTAAACTTGACTTACCTACTTTATTCACAGGGGCATTAAAACACTTGAGTGTATCATTGATGCGTGTCGGCTACCGTGGACTAGGATTTATGATGCGTTTAATCGCTGCTCACAAACAATAGATTATGTGATTGTAACCCTGAAATGGGCACAGCCCATAACCATTGTTTCGCATGTCGTGTTCGGCATCGTTAATCCCTTAGATTGTAATTGACCGGCTGCTACAATCAATCGTACAATCGTTATATCATTACTTAATGCATGCTCTGTGTAACCCCACGCCACAGCGGGGAGTCGTCTACAAAACGTGAATTAAATGCGATGATTCGCCATGGCGGACGATGAAAAATGAACTTATAATAACCATTTACCTATGCGATATGCATACCTGTACCTTCGCAGTGCTTCTTCGCCCTGCAGATAACACTTCTGCAGGCCAGGTGACCCTGTTTGTGCGTTCTCGAGAGCGTTGCACCGCGCCGTCCACTCCCCTCCCCGTTCCTCCAATCATCTGGCAGTATATCTACGCCCGCCAACAGCCTTCCATTTAGCCGTTTTAACCGAGCGTTTTATCTTCCGTCTATCTGGCATCTGTTTGCTGATGCGGCTAGTTGACGCTGGGAATGTGCATTGTGTAAAGTCACCGACCTCGTTTTCGAAATGGGCCATTCATTTTCCGCACCCGTTTCTAATTCCCATCGGGGCGGCGGGCGCCCCCCGCCGGGCCGGCCGAGGCCGGGACCGGGCCCGCCGGCGCCGCCGTGCTATGACCGTCCTTGTGGCCGCCGTGTCCGGCCGCCGCCGCCGCAGTAATTGCAGAACCGGCGCGCGTTTCCCACAGGAACTGACTGGGCCTCGTCCGGCGCGCTGCCCGCCTGGGAATGATCGCGACCGGTGCCGCTGACGCTCGAACAGATCGCGATCTGCCTGATCACGGTCAGAGTGCTCTCGGCGCTCGCGTCTCTCCGTCTGCAGCGGCTCTATAGCGAGCGGCCTGCAGCGCCCGTCACGACGCACAGGGGAGGGGAGGGGCGGGATGACGGCTGCAGAGCGCCGCCGGATGATAGCAGAGCAAGGCGGAGATGGCAGCGGCGCTTAGGAGAGACGTGGAGCGCGGTGGGCGTAAGAGAGAGGCACCTCGCGAGCGTGGTCATGCCTGAGTTAGACGATAACCGTGTAAGGCGGAGTAAATATGGCGGTATGGAAAACTGATGAGACGCGCACCCCGAAGGACTTTGGAAAACGCCAAGAAAAAGCGTGGCGAGTGGGGAGTATGAAATGAAGCGGAGCAGGGGCGAGGCGACCGAGAGAAAACGCGCGTGGTCTCGGACGCTGGAGTGACAGCCGTGTAGGGAGAGAGTGAGGGAAGGGCAAAACTCCGGGGGCACGCTCACAGGGAATGACTCAAGAGTGGCAGCCGCGAATCACGGCCGTGGAGGGCGTGGTGGGATCCGGAGAGGGCGTGGTCGAGCACGGAGTCAGCGAGTGACAGGCGCCGGTCGGCCGGCGGCTCGGGAGGGACGCGATGAGGGGTGGGAGAGGGACCGAGAGACGGGGCGGGGCGCCAGAACGAGCGGGGAACGGGAGCAGGAGCGGGGCGGGGCCAGCTGCCACTGGGAAGGTACACGGAACGAACGACAGTCGTATGTCAGCGACGACAGGCAGACAGA